CCTTCTGCTTTTCTGATTAACAGCAGTAATTACTAGCAGTAATTAATAAGACCATGTGTACAGTCATTATCCAAAACCAAAGAATGGGCTTATTCTGAGAACTCAAGGGACTTCTTAATTATACCTGAAGTCTCTTGATGCGATCAGCTTATGAAGGAGCTGGGAAATAATGTCTCACGTAAGTGAGGTGATAGCTAGCAGTAGTGAGATGATAGCAGTAGTATTATACGGAGAGAGGATGTATGGGTACAGTCTTATCACGTGGATCTAACGGTGGGAATGTATACAATATCTGACACATTCTCCAACACATGGAAGGCTAGTTCTCCGCTGTTTTTTTTTTAAAGGGAAGATGAAGAAAACTAATACAAACTAAATAAAACTAATGAAAACAGTCTATTCAGGGAAACCCCAACTATATCAATAGGGACTTCTCCTTTTGTTAGATATATTATTATGAGTAGCTGCTTAAAAATTGACTGTAAGTCTACTTTTGCAACTGCATTAACGCATCAGAAGACCCTACTGTGACAAGACTGTCAAGGAACTGAGTTACCTTTACAACCATAGCTGCATAGGTCACATCAGCTCGCCACAGTTGTGGAACAGACCATCCAACCATTGGATCTGCTTCATCGTTGTATATGGCAACAGAAGCAAAATTTGGAAACAGCTTCTGAATTTGTTCAACTGCTTCTACTTCTTGTTGCAAGATGTAGAGAGAACTCCCACCTCCCTGCAACAATATTTCATATCCGCTTAGTGAAAGAGAGCAAACAGTAGTAAACACACAGACATAACATACAGACATAAACATATTCTGAAAACATGTTCTTGGAGTCTGTGAGGAGCTGTGGGCCAGACAGTATTAGCATTTTTACCTAATCCATTACAGCATATGCTGTTTGCATGAGCTCCTCCTAGAATATAAAATGGAACAGAGGTAGAGGAGTTGTTTCCCCCTGGGAATTAGGCAAAGGCAAATTTGCTTTGAATTGAAGTCTCGCAACTGAACATCTTCAAAGTTTCATTAGAATAGGTAGCCATGCTTCCTGCTATAGGCTGGACACTCATCTGGAAATCAACTTCATAAATCAGAATAAAATGTAACTTGGATTGAACTGATTAAAAAAATAGCCTTAAACTGAAATCTTGGACTGACCTTCTTATGGAGAGAGATGTAGTCCAGCCTTACACCAGTCTCCCCTGTGAAGAAGTTGGTTCCGTTGTAGCAATGACACAGAAGACTCCAGCATATGGGTGACTTGGGTAAGGGGTGGAAGGAATCCCCAGGCCCTCCAAATTTTAGTAGAGGACTGGCTGCTCTTAATCCTTCTGAGCAAGCATCATAATAGTTGAGAAACCCTGAAGTCCAAGCGGATGCATACATCAAAGATGATAACTCAAAATAGAATCTTGATCTAAAACTACAGGGAGATGTTATAACTCTATTATTGCATTTATTGGCAGGACGTCCCAAAGCGGGGCTACTCTTTCCTATGCACTGACAACACGAGAAGACATCAAAACCTCAGCTGCATTCACAAGGTTCTTCCAAAGGTCTTGTGAGGACAGGTTCCCAAAGCACACATCTGTCAACAAACAGTTTTCCTCTTACTCCACCCTTCACTCCCTTGCCCCCTGTAACCCTTCTTTATATCCAAATAACGAACTGCGTCTTCTCTGTGTAACTCCTGTTTTGTTTTCCCTGTTCTACTACCCCTGTATGTATACTGATGTCCAAGCAGGGAACAAAGTGTAGTCAGTAACATGACCTTAGCAAAACAGACTAGGTATATATTTCACATTCCTTATCTCTCCTACCGACCTTATTTCTTTGCCAGCATCTCTTCTTTCTCACTGACACCCCTCCACCCACCCTACACACCTGTCTCACTTTACTACACTAGTAAGTGCTCCAAAACGTGCTTACCTTTCACTGTCATAGACACATTGTCAAAGTCATGGTGGTCTGGTTCATTCCACGTTTCAAAATTCCATTTAGCAACGTGCTCCAATCCGTACCTATCTGTAGGAGAGGCCTCATTTATCAGTGAGCTGCATATTCAGACGGTCCTATCAATTAGTCACTGATCCAGACAGTCCTATCAATTACGGCTGCAGGTGAGGTTCAGCACCCAGAGCTACAAGAGGGTATAAATATTACCTATTTTTAATAATGAGGGAAATGTGATTTTGGTAGTTTCAAACTGATCTCTCATTTTCGATGAAAAGCAGCAATATTTGAAAAAGATGAAAGGTGAAAGGGAGGTGATGTGAACTACAGCCTTGTGGTTAGGGCACTCACCTAGGCTTAATTCAGGTTGAGGCTTCTGCCTCATTAGAGATATTTGAAGCTGGTATGTGGGAAGCATTCAGGTTATCATGTCCTAGTGCAAGCTGGTGGTTTACAACCACAACAACATAACAAAGTTAAAAGTCAGTCCTCAGAGGCAGGCCAAATGTGCTACCCAGAACACACTACTCATTCAGGATGCTGCTCATGGATCAGCAAAAAAAGGGGCTATTATCCCACTGTCTGTTCTGGCACAGGTTTTTTCCCATTCTGCGCTGAAATCCAGGGTCTTGAAATTGATCACAATATACAGAACTTTCTGAGGTAGTTAAAAGGGATTACAACAGAATAAATAACAGGGCTTTTTTCTTCCTTTTTTTTTTTTTTTTTTGGAACTTACCTATGTATCTGCTGGCCAGAAGTGTAATTAAGTTTCTCCATCTTACTACCTGTTCTTTATCTTCAAAATCTGAAAAATATCCTGATGGATTCCCCATCAATTCAAATCCTAAAAAAGACACAAAAGATTGGTCTCCTTTTTTTGTGACTGCTATCTCCTTTTGATTAGCGAAGGGGTTATTGCATTATCCGAAACAAACTTGTGAATAAGGAAGCATCATTAAATGGGCTTTCTTTCCTGTTTCTATATGTCCCCACCAGGAATATTTCAGATTTGAGGTTGCTCACACTTGTTACTTGTCAATGACTATAGTAATCAATACTAATACTTACCATCATAAATTCAGAGCTCAGAGGGAACTTTAAACAGTGGTAGTTTGCAGAAATTCAGGGGAAGCTATACCTTGAGTATCTGCTTCTCTGGACCTTTTAGGTACATGTTAATGGGTACAAAACTTTCTCCTCTTCAAGAGATCTCATTTCCCAACTCATACATCTCAAACTGTTGTTGAAAGCCATGTAAAACCATTTGTGTTGTCTTAATTGCCCTAATAGTGTTTTGCTCACGCTGTTTACATTTACATGGACATGAGGTAAAGGCAAATAGGAAAAGAACGAATTTTTATCTAAATCAGCTTCGGCAAAACTCTCTAAGAATCTTCTGATGATTACACAATATGGGCAAACAGATGTAGCAAGTTGTGGAGGTAGGGAGCTGCCCTTACCTGGAATTAGCTTATTTTCCCACAGGCGATCCATAAGGTTATCCAAGGCCGTGAAATTGTAATGAAGTTTCCCATTCAGCACTCTGAAGAATACAGGTAATAAAAAGTACAAATGTAAATATTAGCAAAGGTGGCACTTGGTGGCAGACAATGGGTCAGAGGGCTGCCTTCTTTTGGCTCTCAAAATTTACATGTAACTAGGGTTCTTGGAATTGTACACAAACTTCCTTCCTCTAAAGTGACGGGTGTTCACCATAAGCAAGTCATGTTTCTTGTCCAATACATGCCCTTTTCCTATTCCAGCAGCAGCAACAGAAGCAATATAATGAACTTGCTTGCTGGATTTTGAGTTTTTAAAAGGATATTAAGATTTCTAATTCTTTGCTGAAATGAAATTTACCTAGACTTTTTTTGGCTAAGCTGTTTTTTCAGTTTCCATTTGATTACCTACTGCTAGGCCAGCTGGTTTCCACCTTGTCTTATATGCAGTCTTTCTTAATGTTCTCTTAATTTGCAATATATAATATAGCTTTCCTAGTAGTGCTTCTTATGGGTGTAGGTCCAGCTGAGAAATAACTTCGTATCTTTCAACGAATGCTGAATTTATGCACACAATGTCTGTAATTTTTACTTTATTGTTAGCATTCGCCTACTGTTTCTCCTGCACTCCCAGGATCTCAGGCTGCAATCCTTTTACCCAGCTTTGAATACATGTGTTCAAAGACTTGGAGATAGCCCCATGATGCGTCCCTTTCTATCAGTGAATCTTGCAGGAGCACAGGTAATAAAATTTGGGCATGCACCTGCATGGGAACACAAGAGTTCTTTTACCCAGGGGATAGAAACTGGCATTTGCAATTTATCTGTTTATTGAAGAAATGCTTTAAATTCCTGAAAGACTTTTCTTGCCTGGTATCCAGTGAAAACAAATATAATGTAATATATGGGTCGGTGTATGATTTCCCATAACTTCTGAACTTGTAGCCTGATTTAACTGAAATCTGACAGGACATGAGAAATTTTGCCAGTATGAAGTGCCAAACAGGCATTAAAAATGAACTTCTGTTGACAATATTCTGGTAGCGTGACTTACTGCCATTTGGCCCAAGCCACAGCCTTGGCCTGGTGCCCAAATTCTGACCCAGTATGCCCTGAGCAAAAGGCTTTGTAAACATCCTTGAGAGAATTCCAGCCCTGGTCATACAGGAGGGCTGATCAGAGTCTTGCCAGCGCTTCTCAAAGCTGATTTCTCCAGCCTTGCCAGAGCACTACACCTAATTACTCTGGTACAGTGCAGCTCAAGCTCTGCCTCTGCTGTCTTGCCTGCTCTTTCCTAGGCACCTAGCCTCTGCTTGGGTGGAAAGCTTTACAAGTGAACTGCAGATGCAATGTCCTAGATACGGTGGAAGGGGGAGAGACAATCACAGTTCCTGTAACTGATCTGTGCTAGCAAGGCATGCTAGGCACACAGGATAAAAAGTGAGAATGAGGCAGTCAGCAGATCTCTTAAATCATGACCATGCTGGGCTCTGTGCTGAGATTCACAACTTGTTTCTTTCTGTGCCTTCCCATGTGTTTCTGAGCCTCTCAGATTGAGGGTCTTCCTCTGTGCTTTCTTGCCAAGGGAAGGTTTCAGTGAAGAACTTGTAACAGCAATCCCGAAGTTGTCAGAGAATTAAGAAGGGCTGACAGAATTGCCTAATGAATAAAGAAGGGAACTGTGCAACCTGAAGAGGACAAAGTGCCATCAGCATCTCTGACTATGATCTAGAAAAGGAAAACAGGACAGGCAAAACAAATGTAATGTAAGCCATATCCACTGTACCAGCTCCTCCTGTGATGTAACCAAGCACACAATCTTAGCCCCAGCATGGTCACACTCTTTTACCAAAGACGTGAAGCTGGCTTTTCTCTTTTAAAGTATGACTACCACCATGACAGAAATTGTCATGTCTGCAGCCACCGATGGGCCTGCAGTTCCTGCCAGAGTCAAATGGTGCAGCTGTGAAAGAAGCAAATAGCACAAAGATATTTATTTACTTTAGTATCCATAAGAGCATTTTAGAAGTTACTGTTGAACTACAGAATGGCCATTTGGAATTAGGGGGTTTTTTTGGCTTAGAAGGGGTTAAAAAAAAGTCCAAAGTTCAAAGACAAATATTTTGTTGCAGAAGGTAGCTCTGCTCCCTCAGATCCATTAACTATTTCCAGTTGTACCCTGTGTTCTATTGAAATATTTGCTTACATGCACACTTACAGTCAGTGAGCATAAGAATGATTAACTTGTAAAAACTTAGTAACGCCATTTAAATAATAGCAAAGAAACTAGTGTCTTCCTGTCTCCAGTCTAAGGTCTACACAGTACTATGTAAAAACATATGGGTAAATAGGGCCTTTTGTATGATGCACGTACACTTAAGATTCCAGCACATCTACATTTTTCCTCCTGTATCAATTAAGTAAAACATTTAAAACAGAGTGCCATTGCTAGCCATGACTGAAGTGACAGTACATGAGATCTGTGTGTAGGTGTGTAGGTGTAGAGGCACTTCTTACATCCTTTGGCTGATCTGTCACTTTATGAGAATCTTTTCTTGCTTGCAAATGGATTAGGCAGTATGCCTCTATTAATAAAATGATTACTTGACTGATAGGATTGCCACTTTCTCAGATCTTCATCTTATCCTTACCCATACTACTTTTCTGATGTGAAATTGATGCTTTTTTTACAACCTCTACAGGATCACTAGAATTTGGGTTGCATGGTTGCATGCTATGTGGTGTCTGGAAGCCATGCTGACTGCCGCGTGTGAGGCACAGCACGGACCTCAGAAGCTGGTACTATTTACAAACATCCTGCATGGGGAAGATCGGTTCAACCATCAGGCTGTTACCAGGAGTGCTATAAATATAATTTTAGGACACTGAATACCAGATCAAAACTGTTACAGGCATGTGACACGGTAAATCGTTGACCCAGGATAAACTCACTTGACATTGTCAAAGTTGTTCAAAACAGCTTTGTACATCTGACCTAGGTTCTGCTGATGCAGCATCACGTATCTATGACTGGGCCCCTGGTAGCAAGCTCACAGACTTTTACAGGCTTCTACCTTTTCTTTGCCTGCTCCTCTTCTGATCTCTCTGCCCTTAAGTCATGGTTTCTAGACACCACTGTCTTCATTTATCAACACGCAGAAGGCTATGTCCTTGTCAATTCATTTGAGTACTTGCCAGACTGCGGATTGTTCATCGTTTGCTGTTGGGTATTTCTGATGTGGAGCGGCAACCACTGTCCTGTCTGTGCCTGGCTTTCAAATGTTCCTCAACTGCGCTTTTTGTGGGAGACTTGCCAGATAAGGCCTTCCTCATCTTCAGTCATAACAAGCAACTACACTAAAGCATGTTTACTGGCATCCTGGCACCAATGTCCTTATAAGCCCCAGGCCTGCGGCTGCTATACTCCAGAGACCGCTGCCTGCTGGTGAGGTGTCTTTCCAGTCTTTGCCATGATCTCAGTTCCAGACGCATTTGTATGTGCTGCCTCTTGAGAGCAACAACCCTGCTATGAACAGGAAGAGCCGTGATAAGTACAGAGGGGAGTCCGCCGGCTGTCACAAAATATTGTTGCTCTCTTCTTTGGAAAGGCTTGCTTTGTGGGCCATCCTTTGCTGAGTCAAAGGTTACAGGCCCATGTTAACAGCTTTCCACTGCCTCCCTTTACTGGAGTAAGGTTTTTCCAGTATGGAGGGAAATTATTTTCAGGTGCATAGGTAGCTACTGGATAGCTTGCCAAAGTGTTGTAAGATACTCATGTTGTGCTTCTTATCCATGCCACTTTCAGCCTACTCCCATTCACAAACTTAATCTCTTGGGAGGGCAGGGGTAAGCTAGCTTTGGCTGTCAACACCCTGCATCACAGCCAGATCTCCTCCAGTTAGCACAGCTGTGGATACTGCTCCTTAGACTACCGCTACAGCTTCGCTCCTGTGCCCAGCATCTGCTGCTTCTCTCCTGCCCTGGGTCGATCCTGTCCAGGGATATAGTCGCACACCCTAGAAAGCAAGTGCGCACACAGACATTGGACCAAATATCTTATCTACAGAGCAGAGAGCAAGAAAAACACAGGCAGGGAGTGTTACCATTCCGGGTAATCTTCAGTCAAGTATTGAATCTTTGATAACAGGTCAAGCTAACTTTATCAAACTTTATTGTAATGTACTGAACAAAATTTCCTGGGATAGGAAGCCTTGTGGCTGGCCCCTCTCAGTAGGTCACAGCCCGTTTAGGAACTCAAAGATAACATGTAGCGTAACCATCAACAGAGCTATTCTATTGAAGAGAGCTTCATCTGGCCTAGGATTGACATGATCGGGAAATATCTGTATACCAGAGTGGTGCCTTTCTCATCCTGACACTCTCACTTAGCTGGTGTGGCCTCCCTTTGCATTTCTGGTGGACACAGTTACCACGCGCAACAGAAGCTAACATAATCTGGCTTGCTTTCACCAATGTCTGAGAACAGCCTCTCTTCTGGCAGATTGGCCATAGTGGCTGGCTAACACTACTCCCAAGGCAGCAGAGCCTGCTTACATCCCCTCTGGGAGCTTCTGCTGGGAAACATTGCTCATCTAGTGGCAAATGCAGCCAAGAAATAGGGACAGAAAACTGGCACAAGGTGTTGGCAGAGGAGAGGTGCAAATGATACCTTAACAGTAAACAGAATTTTTCAGCAGGGTATTGGCCGACCTCAGACTTGAAAAGTGCACTCCATGAGGGAGCCACTTAAAAAAGACCCTGCTCTATGGCAGGTTTTCTGTGTTACAGTCTTAGAAGTGCAAGTGCAGTCTAAGATACTACCCTGCTATCATGTCTGCTAAGGTAATGATCATATTCATACCACCATTTGTTTGATAGAGATGCTTAGCTGTGTGCCAGACCGTCTTTGTCTGGCCTTGTAAGCCAGTTCCTGCAAATATACACTCCCTTGGCCATGGTGCCAGGATGTGGACCAATGGTAACACAGTTGCTGTTGTTCTGATGAGTGTAAATATGCTCGATAATTAAATTCCCCCTCTCAAAAGTAAATCAAGA